ATGTCTGGCGGCCACTGACCGTTAGGCTCGACATTGGATGGACTAGACTTCCAGTCCCACTGCTTCACCGGTTCGAACCAATTGTGTCCGTAATTGGCCTCAATGTAGGCCAATGTCTGGCACGGGATGCGAACCTTGAGTTCAACGAATTCAGTCCAACAGAGAGTAAATATCGGGAAAATGTATTTGTATTTATTGCCGCTCTTAGCCTGAGTGCCACCGTTCCAGACATACGACTGTTCCCTATAGAAGAAGAATATGTCTAATTTCATGTCTCTGTCGAGGAATGACAGCTCAAAACTGTCTCCAATTTTGCCGAATCTATGAATTAGTGGCAAATCGTTCACAGAAAAGGCGTCAATGAGTTCCGGCTTATAGTCTTCTATCCAAATTCCGATGTCAACATCCTTGCTGATATATATACAGGCAAATTAATTATCGTATTAATACTGTATATATTATTTGTTAATGGACATACAATACTTTAGCGTAACAGACATTATAGGCTCTCGACAAGGTGACGATTCGGACCTGTTTTATATTTAATATATGTTTAGTATATATATAGTATCTTTGATTATTTATAAAACTAAAACCAAAAAAACAGATTCAAACCAAAAGGGAATCGAGAGCTCATCCAAAATGTGTTTAACTTTTGCCAACAAAAGAGTGGCTTTTGTGCGAAATTTGTTGGACTCCTCGTCCTCTTCGCGACCGTATTTCGCGTGGAAAACATTGGCACGACTTTTGTTACACTCAACGAACTCCACGTCTTCGGGCTTTTGAATGAATGGAGTGAAGGGTTTCGGCAAATGCAAGACCAGTCCATCGATTGTCGTCCGCATTATCTCCACTCTATTAAAGCAATCAATTAATTGTCAAAATATGACAACACTTTCAATCATTTACTTGTCATATATGGCACTCGAATGCGAAACTTTGAAATCAGATTTTCTGAGTCCTTGTCGATGAAGTAATCTCTTGTGATGATCATTGAGTGCAAGCAATCCGTGCCACCAATGGGTCGATTGGATGCGTTCGTAGAATATGACGATATGTATGACATGAGACATCTTATCGATGTGTAGATTCTCGTCGATGACAATCAAATGCGTGGGAATCGAGACCTCGAGTTCGTAGTGGACTAGAGTCGGGTCCAACTCTTCCAACTTCAAGACTGTGAAGCCCTTAGCCTTGACTGCAGTCACGAATCGGGTGATGAGTAACTGAGTGGCAAACTGACCAAAAGTGGCCAAATGTGTGATCTTACGGCCCGAACACAACACATTGCAATAGGAAGTGTCACCTCCAGAGGAAGTGTCACCTCCAGAGTCACCACTCTTTGCATTCTTGGCCGAGATATTACTCAACACTTCGCTGTCGATCAGAAACAACGGGATTGAGTTGCGATTGGCGTTCAGTGTCACCACATCCAACAGATTCTGCACAAAACAAACCATTTATTATCTCATGTTAGCCACGCATTCATTGCAGTCATACCCACGAAGTCTTCTCTTCGACGTGACCCTAGTTTTGGGATCAATTCAAGACATAAATGAGATCTCGAGTGAAAACCAATGTATTATTTGTTGAATACTTTTCTTAACAGAATTTGCAGAGAAATGAGTTGAAGAGTCAACAGGAATCCACTGACAATGCATATCATAAACAAGAGGTGTGTCTTCAACATATGAATCTATTCCTCCGAGTCTGTGNGGCGACTTCGAGGGCCCAGAAGACGACGCCCCGGAATCGGTTCAGGCGATGGCCGCTCCACCCAATTGGGTGTTTCCCGGTTGGTGTCCATCACGAGCACCGCTATTATCAGCCATTGTTTGTCTCGATGTAAGCGATACTAATGTCTTGTTTGCGTTCAGATCTGTTGCGCGTCGACTCGAGTCAGGCCTCACACGAAGAGCCGGAGAGTGTGGCCAACAGTTGTCCGCCGATGGCGTCGACCCACTCGCGACCCAATGTCATGATTCGCGGACCCATTCGCGAGACGGGAGCCATACCTAAGCAGAGGACAGACCTGCCGGACGTGTCTCTCCTGCCCTCCGGATCTCGAGATCTATGCACTCCTGCCTTAAAGACGAGTTCTTATTCGCGCGACTCGTCGGCCAACAGACCCACGAATCTAATGGACGGCAATATTCCTCGGGATAACGGAAGTGACTTAAATCAGACGCGAGTCACGCGTTTAGAACAGGATCTGAAGACATTGCAGACACAGAAGGCTTTACTACAGCAACAGTTACTGCAAAAAGACACTCAAATCCGCGAATTGCAGTCACAGTCGCGCCAATCGGTTCCCAATGTGATTCCCACTCAATCTCAAGAGTCAGTGATCACTACATTGACCGAAACGGTGGACAGGTTTCGCTCAACCATTGAGACGGCGATGAATCGATTGGAGCAAAGACTCACTTCACTCGAGACCAGAGTTTGTAATGCAAACGACTCGTCCATTGTTTGTGATGCCGTGTCCTCTAATGGCAATGACATCGACTCGCAGACTGTTCGCCAAACTTCGAGTCAAACGCTTAACAATATTTTAATACAACAGAGAAAAGTAAATGCATTTTATTTGTATATAAATTCTTGTAAATTATTTAAATGATTGTCTTTTTATAGCAAATTGAAAACGAGAGACGAAGAAATCTCTTGTTATTCTCATCGCTCCTGAAGAATGCTTTCGAGACAATAGAAACTCATTTGGATGTAAAGGACGTCGACTTTAATCACAAATAGTATCTCAATTATACCTCATTTGATTTGACATGAAAAGTAAATAACTATGAGTTTTGTAAATAATAGCATCAATTGTGGTCATGTCTACCAATCATCGAATGTATTTGATATGTCTTTGTCGTAATCTTCGTGGGAACTCTTCTCCACTCTTTGTTTATGAATATTATTGTAATTCAAAGTATTATTATTTGATTTAATGTCTTCGGCTTTTGCATCGAATGTCTGTTTGTTATCATTAGTTTGCATCAATTGAATGGCATTTTGTTTGGCACCAGTGTTTCCAGTGATTCTTATGGCATGACTTCTGTTGTCACTGAATGGCACTTCGTTTTGATTTTGTTCCCTCCCGTGGGAACCGTTCTCTTGAGCCTTATTTTGCGGATTAGACACTGTCTTCAATGTCTGCAAATCGAGATTATGTTCATTGTTTGGATCGGAACTCAGTTTCTGTGTCACAAGAAATTCGAGCGAAGATTCTTCCAGTGCTTTAACATTGTCTTCGCAGATGTAACAGCCGAACGTCTGGCCATCACTTTCCCTGTGATTGTTATTATTGTTTGGCATTTCCTTCAGTGAAACTGATTTCTGCGTTTCGTTTCTTATGCTTAAGATTTCTTTTGATAACAAATGGTTTCTATGAAAAAGAGAACATATTTTTAATATCCTTTAAAAATACTATATTTTATTAAACTCCTAATCATTTGAATAATTAATTCCAGTAACTCTGTTGTCACTATTTAATAATGAATTACTTGAAGTCATAACTTATCGCTTATGTATCGCATTTTTTTGTGAATATTAATTTTATTTAAATAAAATATTTTTAGTCAAAAGTTTAAAAGTGTAACAAAATTGCAATACTTGTGTTGGAGTTGTTTGACCGCAAGTGTCGACTGTTTGAATTGGTTGTTCAGTTGTTCCAGTTTATTGTCGTACTCATCAATGTCACCCTGGTGTTTTTGTTTCATTAGCAGAACTTGTTGCTCGCATTTCCTTAAATCCATTCGCAATTTCAATATCTTTTCATCGCTTTCTTTAACTGTTTTGTCAAACTTTTCTCTTTCGATCTCGAAATCCGTTTGTTTCGATTTCAGCGTCTCTTTAATCACATGAATCTCATTCTTAAGCGATTTGTTTTCAAATTTCATGGACTGGTAGTCTTCCATACTGTCCACTCTCTCCTTTAAAACCTCATTCTCTTTGCGAAGTATCTCCAAATCCTTGCGACTCTTCGCTAACTCTATTTCCGACAACTTTTTGTTGTCGATCTTCTCCTTAACGATCTTCACCTGCGAGTGAAGTCTTTGCTCGACTTCTTTCACTTTCTCCTCTTTCTTCCCTAAATTCAGTTCCTTTTCTTCCAATTCATTGAACTTTTT